AAAAGACTCGATATGGTTAATTGGAGTGGAGAAATGAGGGAAGACACAGAGTGGGGCAGAACAATATCCAAGGGATGAGGTAACAGCTAAGCAATTTCCTCAAACTAACAAAGACAGCAACCTGCAAAAAAGCTCAGTGAACCCCAAACAACATGAATGTCAAAAAAAAAATCATACCTAAACACATGAAAGTAAAAGCAACAAGGGGAGCCCAGCTGGCTTGGTGGGTAGAACATGAGACTCTTAATGTTGGGGTCATGAGTTTGAGCTCCATGTTGAGGGTTGATTAAAAAAAAAAAAAAAAAAGCAATGATAAAAATCTTTAAAATGACCAAAGGAAAAGCATGTTCATTTCAAAGCAACAATAAGACAAACAAGTAACTTTCAACAGAAACTATGGATGAAGGAGTTGATGGAACACCCTCAAGTTGATGGAAAAAAAGCAAAGGTGCCAGGCTAGAATTCTATACCCAGTGAAAAGAGCCATCAATCGATCCACCAATCAGAACATACTCAGACACACAAAATTTGAAAGAATTCTTTCCCATAAGATTTTCACTAAAGAAATGCTAAAAGAAGTTCCTAAGACTAAGGAAATGATCCCAGATTAAAGGATAAAGCTTCAGAAAGCCATTCAAAATGATAAATATGTCAGTAAATATAAAAAATGTTGATGCTTAAAATTTAAGAAAATAATAGCAATGCCTTTACAACTTAACATGTGTAGAGGTAAAAATAAATGATGCAATATTTTTTGAAAAGAGCGGACACAAAGTAAATGGACTTAAACCAACAAAGCATTACTGTTCTATTTCAGAAGTGGTAAAAGAACCAATTGCATGGTAGACTGTGTAATGGTAGACTGCATAATAAGTCACTGATGCCTATTAAAATCAAATATAACTACTGGGGAAAAAAGAATATATAATTAAACAGTTAATGGAAGAGAAAAAATGGAATGAAACACCCTTGGTCAATCCAAAAGAATGGGATCCCTGGGTGGCTCAGCAGTTTAGCACCTGCCTTTGGCCCAGGGTGTGATCTTGGAGTCCTGGGATCGAGTCCCCCATCGGGCTTCCTGCATGAAGCCTGCTTCTCCCTCTGCCTGTGTCTCTGCCTCTCTCTCTCTGTGTCTCTCATGAATGAATAAAGAAAAAAAAAATCTTAAAAAAAAAAGAGGTCAGAAAAAGAATAAAGGAACATGAATATAGGGGGCAAATAGAAAACGCATAGCAAAATGGCAAAATTAAACTTAAAAAGATCAGCAAATATGCTAAATATATTGGACTACACAATGTACCAGAAAAGCAGACTATCCAGCTGGGTTAAAAATGAAAACAGTGAACCAATTATATGCCATTTGTAAGAGACATAGTTTAAACATAAGGACAGGGGATCTCTGGGTGGCTCAGCGGTTTAGTGCCTGCCTTCGGCCGAGGGCGTGATCCTGGAGTCCTGGGATCGAGTCCCACGTTGGGCTCCCTGCATGGAGCCTGCATGTCCCTCTGCCTGTGTCTCTGCCTCTCTCTCTCTCTCTCTCTCTCTCTCTCTCTGTGTGTGTGTGTGTGTCTCATGAATGAATAAACAAAATCTTAAAAAAATAAAATAAAATAAAAAAATAAACATAAGGACAGAGGTTGAAAAAAGAAGGATGAAAAATATTATCACACAATACTAACCAATGAAGGCTGGGGAAGCTGTACTACATCACACAAAATAGTTCTTTTCCTGGTAATCACAGAGGATATCATCAGACCAAACCTCCTACAGTTAACAATTACACTCTGTTAAAACAATAATCTTAAGGAAAGGGATAGTTACCAAAAGCAGGCAGAAGCCAGAAGGGAGTCAATGTAGGGAAAAAAGGGAGCAGCTTTGAGTGAGTTTCCCATCTTTATGGCTTTTCCACTGACAACAGACCGCAGTTGGTGCATTAAGAAAAACTGACAATTAAGATAAGAAATAAACAAACCTGCGATTACAGTGGAGATTTTCACATCCTTTTCTCAGTAATAGAATTACATAAAAAATCAGCAAAGACAATGAATACATGAACAACACTAACCATTTGCCCAAACTGACAGTTACAAAACCCTATTCCCCCAAATCACAGATATTTCTGTGCACATAGTACGTTCAACAAACATAGACCATCTAGCTGGACCAAAATCAAATCTCAATAAGTTTTAAATTCTAAAAAATGTTTTATGACCACAATGAAACTAAATTATAAATCTATAATAATAGTATGCCTAGAGTAATCCCAAAACATGTAAATATTAGACTAAGTAGACTTTACAACAAGAAGCATTTTAGAGACTAAAAGGGACATGATGGACCAGATAACTTTAAAAATTTTTAGAACTGATATCTGATCAGGTCACTAGATCTAACTACCAATTATTAGGAGATACAGGGGAACATAATGAATGACAATTCGGTAATGCAGTCAGCAAAATCCAGACAGTCAGACACTCCTCAGAACAAATCGTCAGCTTTCTTCAACAAATATATTGCAAGGGAAAAAAAATGAAGAGGAACCTATTGATTAAATAACTTAAGAAACATGGCCACCTTTTGCCCATACATGGACCTTAACTGGATCCTAATTCAAAGAAAAGATATGTGAAAAAAAAGAAAAAAAACAGGAGAAAAGAATAAGAAAATGAGACTATAAGTAAATTGGGATACCTGACAGGATCCAAATTATATATTTTTTAATAATGGTTGTAGTATATTTTTAGAAAGCCTTTATCTTTTAGTGATATACCCTAAAATACCTATGAATAAAATGGGATGAGAAGTTATACTACCAAGGGTTTACTTCCAAATAATCTAGGAGCAGAGGTAGCAGGTGGAAGAGAGGGAAGTATAGAGAAAACAGCCAAGACTTGAAAATGAGTTATGGCTTCACTTGATCTGCATTTCCCCCACTTGAGGATAATGTATAAAATTCTGTATTATAAAAGTTCCCTGAAATGTTCCCTAAAAGTTCCCTAAAGATGAAAAGGCATATGGCCATTGTGCCATGAGCTATGAAAGGCTATTTTATTTAAAAAAAAATAGAGACAGAGGGACGCCTGGGCGGCTCAGTGGTTCAGCACCTGCCTTTGGTCCAGGGTGTGATCCTGGAGTCCCGGGATTGAGACCCACATCGGGCTCCTTGTGTGGAGCCTGCTTCTCTCTCTGCCTGTGTCTCTGCCTCTGTGTGTGTGTCTCTCATAAATAAATAAATAAATAAATAAATAAATAAATAAATAAATAAATAAATAAATAAATAAAATCTTTAAAAAAAAGTTTCTGGGACACCTGGGTGGCTCAGCAGTTGAGCTTCTGCCTTTGGCTCGGGGCGTGATCCTGGAGTCCTGGGATCAAATCCCACACTAGGCTTCTGGCATGGAGCCTGCTTCTCCCTCTGCCTGTGTCTCTGCCCCTCTCTCTGTGTCTCTTATGAATAAATAAATAAAATCTTTTAAAAAAAAGAGACAGAGATACACATTTGTTCTACAAGTAATCTCACTCAACATTGTTTCATCAGTACTTGGCATTTGATGATTCTTTGGAGAATATTTGTTGAATAAATAAATGGGAGCAAGGAATTAGTTACTTCAAGACTGTGTGTGTGAGAGAGAGAGACAGAAATTTCCCTAATTAATAATGATACTGCATATTTTTTCATGATTTTATTCACGATTTATATTTCCTTTTGGACAAAAAGCTGGTACATGTCACTAGGAAAAAACAGCAATTCGTAAGTCCTCTTCCTGTATTTTGTTATGTGGTTGCAATTTTTTTCTCTCTCTGTAGCTTATCTTCACTCTCTTAATAGTGTCTAATGATGTGTAAAAAAAAAATCTTAATTTTAATGTAGTCAAATAATTAAAAGTTTTCCATATTAGTTCTTGCTTTTTATATCTTGTTCTAGAAAATCATTCCTAGTCTGCGATCAGGAAATAATGTTTTTATACACATCTCTAAAGCTTTATTGTTTTGTTTTTTTTTTTTTCCTTTCACATTTAGTTCTAGGATTCATCTAGAATCCAGTTTTTGACTATGGTGTGAAATAGAGTTCCAATTTTATTTCTCCAGATAGATACTCTTATCTCAACAAAATTAATTTTAAAACTTCATACTTTTATCAATGCCTGCAATGCCCCTTTTTCATGAATATGTCACCTGTATATGCAAAGGTCTACAAGAAGTTCTGCTGGAATGAAACACTGTAATTTTCAAATGATAAGGCACAAGGTTTTCAATTTTTCTTCCCTGCCTCAGAAGATTATCCTGCCTTCTTATTGAAAACTACAATCATAGAAATAACAACAACTTCAAATAGACCAGTAGGTTCAGTAACTGTTTCAAATTTATCTAAGAAACATGGCTGTCTGGAATTAAAGCTGAGGTTAGAATCACTACTTTTTCCTTTGGTAGTCGGATTTATTTCAAGTTCATTCAGTCCTTAAACAAAGTTGCAGATACAAGGATAAAGCAGTCCCTATTGTCAAGAGACAAATGCAATCTCATAAGATAAATTCTACTATGCATGATACACACAGGCAAAAGATGCTACGAAAGGAAAGAGGAGAAGGTGCTCTTCTTTTAAGCATCGAGTTGCATGTGCTGGCAAGAATGGTGGAGTAGTAGGACTTGAGGAAGGCAGAGATAACATCCCAAATTGCTTTATGTCACACCAAGGAGTCTTGGTACGATGGATATAATGTACAGTGGGGTAGCATCGACACCTTTTCAATTATCTGATTTACATTTTAGAAAGTCAGGAATAAATGAGGAACAATTTCAGGCATTTACAAGGCCAATAACTTCAACAATTTATAATTATCTAAAAGAAACATAATCCTATTGGCAAAATGAAAAGCTACTATCTGTGGAAGTGTAAAGACTGAAAGGCTTGAAGTGAGAAGTTGCCTGCAATTTCTGCTGAATATACAACAGAGATTAAGGAGAAAAGGAGTACAACCTAACATTCCAGGTGTATGTACCTGTAACAAGATGCTCCATAGGGACATTCCGGCCGGTCGTCAGCCTCCTCTTGACACATGACTTGTACACCTCCATAATCACCATCACCAGGGTGACTGAAGTGTTGAAAGTGGACAGGATTCTTCCTATGAGGATGGAAAACACACTGTCAGAAAAAATACAATTCTCTTGACAGTTATACTACATACTGCTATTTATGAAGCCATCTTTCTAATATCTAAATAAGACATTAAACAAGCAGGCATTTAGGTCTGGGTGATTCAGTTCTCAAGTCTGCATTCCCTAGTTCATGTCCTTGCATCAATCAGCATGTCTACATATGAAGCATTTAATCCCCGCGGTTCTATCTTGAAAGCCTCTAGTGAGATTTACAGGATCGAATACTGAGAAAATGTAAACCAGCAGAAACATGATAAATCTCCTAACCTTTAGGCCAATGTGTTTTCTGAGGCCTTTAATATACATATACCACACAGCTACCTGCTATGGAAATAAGGGAATCACGTGCTACCTGTAATTTTATTTTACCTGTAGCACTTTGCCCCATACATGCAGGATGTCCTCTTGATCTTGTTTTCTTCAGAACCTTGTGCAGCTGAATCAGTTGTCTTTGCACTCAACGTTTCAGGATTGGAGGGGTCAGAGCTGGACTCAGGAGATGCTGGAGACTCCTCCTGGGAGGACTTGCCCTGGGCACTCAAGGGACTCTCAGAACAGCTCATCACCTCGCCTTCTTTACTTCGCCTTCCTTTCACAATACTTCTACGTTCAGGAACCCTACCAAGCTCCTCTACTGGGATTTCATTTCTCTGTGTACTAGCCCTCATATCATTCACTTCTGCATTACGTGACGTGATCACAGAACATGATCGCAGCATTTCCTACAAAGGCAAATCAGAAAAAAAGATATTAGAAATAGATGAAACATGTTTTAAAAGAAATACGTAAACATAAGCAAAAAGGCATGAAACCAAGATTCATTCAATATGTGCACTTTTATTTTTTAATTTTTTAAAAAGATTTTATTTATTTATTTGAGAGAGTAAGAAAGATGGCGAGAAAGAGAGAGCACGAGTGGGGGATGAGGGAGAAGCTGAGCAGGGAGACTGACTGACATGGGGCTCGATCCCAGAGAACCCTGGGATCATGACCTGAGCTGAAGGCAGACGCTTACCTGACTGAGCCACCCCGGCACCCAATATGCATTATTTTTTGAACTTTAAGATTCAATTTTAAAATTATTAAAAATGCCATTTTCCCTGTTGGCAATCTGATAGCCTTAAAACAATCTATAGTTATTAGAAAGGGAATATACAGGGGCACCTGGCTGGCTCAGTCAGAAGAGCACCTGACTCGATCGCAGGGTTGTGAGTTCAAGCCCCATGTCGGGTGTAGAGATTACTTTTAAAAAAACACAGAGGGCAGCCCCGGTGGCGCAGCGGTTTAGCGCCGCCTTCGGCCTGGGGTGTGATCCTGGGGACCTGGGATAGAGTCCTGCATCGGGCTCCTGGCGTGGAGCCTGCTTCTCCCTCTGCCTGTGTCTCTGCCTCTTTCTCTCTGTGTCTATGAATAAATAAATAAAATCTTAAAAAAAAAATCTTTAAAAAAAAAAAGGATATACAGCTGTATCAAACCTTTTTCACCTCAAACATTCAGTGAAAAATAACCAGAAAAATACAAATGCAACCTAGGAAAATACAACTTTGCTTCCATTTGAATATAATCTTTCCCCAAAAAACTACTAGTCTTTTAAACTTTCCGTTCTGGGGTGCCTGGATGGTTCAGTGGTTGAGCGTCTGCCTTTGGTTCAGGCCATGACCCTGGGGTCCTCTCAGGGAGCCTGTTTCTCCCTCTGCCTGTCTCTCATGAATAAATAAAATCTTAAAAACAAAACAAAAAAACCTTCCCATTCAATAATGTGTGATGCTTTTAACTTGCTCTGTCTTTATAATTTGTCTGCAATACTTTTATTTCTACCCTCTAAATATAATCATGACATTTTCCCTTTAGCTGAATGAGAACATTGCTCTTCTTTCACACAGAAAAACTTGCATGAAGCTGTGTCATGACAAACTCAGAAAATACATAGGATTCCTCTGAAGTGGTCCGAATAAAAGTTTCAGTTTAACCAAAAAGTTTGAACCAAGTAAATGTTCTCATTAGCACTGAGGAACCTTTTTAATCTGTACTTACCACTGGGACAAACAGTAAGCTTAGTTGTATCCTATTAAAAATAACTTCTTAATTACTTAACTTCCTGTGGAGTGGAAACACAGCTCAGATAAGCCTCGGTCCTCCTGGTAACCACTACTAGGATGTGACACCATAACAGGTATGCATGAAGGTTGCCATGTTTCTGGTGTAACAGTAAACGGCCTATGGGAGAAGCAGTTGTTCAGCTACCTCTTGGAGCTAACCCTCAGCTGGTAGCATCCATTGCCACACCTCTCTTTTCTCCCAAGCTGCTCAGTTACAGCCCAATCTCATCTCCCTCCACTACAGGACCAACTGACAGATGCCAGGGACTGGACTCTGAGGTGGGGATGGGGCAATCCTGACCCACCTCCCGCTTTGGCAGTCCCTTAAGGGGTCAACTCACACAAAAATGTTCTTTTTCCCTGTCGGGTAGAAATAGGACAAATTAGCAATCCCTTAGCTACGCAGATGTCCAGTAAAATGCCAGTCCCTGGTTCCTGTTGGCACCTCTAAACTCCACAATAAATGGTCTCAGAGTGAGAACATAATGTCTCCCTACAAACACAGCATTCCCCCAAGCCTCAACATCTTCTGGCCTCTCAGCTCTCTTTGTCTAAAGCCTGGGGGTGGGATGGTGAACACTTCTCATACCTTTCAATAAGCCTCACAGGGAGAGGCTTGGCTCTCACTGCTGGGGGCTTCTTTTAATCATGAGATACTTATACTTAGTAATTTTGTCCTCATCTTCGGGCCTCAGAAGCAGTTTTGGGATGATGGGGTAAAAATAATCCCACTCAACATCCTGCCAGTTACTTAGGGAGATAAGGAACACAACTAGGGAAGGAGTTAAATAAATTGGAATTCATTCTTACCATGAAACACTATGCAAAGGTTGAAAATGAACAGATCTCTCTCTCTCTCTCTCTCTCTCTCTCTCTATCTATATATATATATACACACACAAGGATTTTTAAAAAGAGAATTACACACACAATGATTCCCTTTAGCTTTAAAAAACAAAAAAAAACCCTGTCTCCCTATGTGTGTATTTACTTGTATAAATTCAAATTAAAAGGTTTAGAAGGATACAAACCAAAATATTAGTAAGACCAATGGGATTGAAGGACAAGGCAAATCAAAATTTTCACTTAATACTCCACACGCTCTGCCATTCTATTTTTTTTGATAACAGCATGTATTTTTCTTGCCATTTAAAGAAACAGAAAACCCAAAGAAAATAAAATATAAGATATGAAAATGTTTAACATGATTTCAACTCCCTCTGTTTTTTTTTTCTTAATCTTCACAAAGAATATGTTCGACATGCTAATTTATTCTAAAAGAGAAAGGAATGATAAAGTCACAGATATCAAGACTATGGATCAGGAGTTCTCAAATATATTTTAAGAGGCACAAAAGCTGGAATTCATAATGTTCTTTATGGAACTTCATGAAATATTGATACTCAGTAAACCCTTGGCATTCAAGAATTTAACATTCAGGGTCTCAATTATTTATAAATGATCCCAAAAATCCATTACATGGAGTAATTTGTAAGTTTGCTGAAACATAAATTTACTCTGTGCCAATTACAAAGCTCATGAGCCAGAGTAAGTCACTGAACTGCCAAGTGATGGAACAGAAAAGATGGAATGTGCTCTGCACGTGAAAGAAGCAGCAAAAAGGCAGAGAGGTCCATATTTTATGCACCTACCTTGCTTATATCTTAGAGTAGATGAAAATGTTAAGAATGAAATGCGGGAGGCTGAAGATTCATGATAGAGAAGCTGAGTTCCCTACACTAGAAAAATATATGCTAGAGCCCTCAGTGTTCAAGGAGCATGGAGCTGGTGTGAGGTGACCTTGATGCTTGGCGATGGTTGGAAGGTACTCATATGGTTATTAAATTGTCTGTTAACTTGCCCAGCAAGCCCTCCCTTGCCCTTCAACCATATGAGGTTTTAATGTCCACAAGGGACAGGATAAAGAACTTCTGCCCAATAAAGGCACTGAGGTAATCTACTCCTGGAAAGAATGTCTGTACTAAGACATTGCCTTGAAAGTCCTGCATTAGTCTCATTAGCAACCTCATACTAAGGATTTAAAAATCCCAACCTCCAGCCCCAACTTCACTCCTGAGCTTCAAACTTATATTCAACCTCTAGCTGGACATTTCTTCCTCAATATCCTACTCACCTCAAACTCAGTTGAAACTGAAATCCTCCCCCAGTATCCTGTACCAAAGTTTTTCATTCTGGTCAGAAGCTTGGAAGTCTATCTTTCACTCCTTTTTTTCCCCTCACCTCTCAGATCCAAGCAACAAGCCCTGCAGTTTTGCTTCTTAAATATTTCTCTGATCCAATGCCTTTGTGCCATCCTTAATGCCACCAGTCGGTCAGATTCTTTTTTCTTGACTGAGGTCCTCATTTCCTCTCTCCTCTCCCTGTCTTTTATTTTGTTCCCTTTCAATGTCTCCTCTAAAGAGCTGCCAGGGTTCTCTCTGTGGCCAAAATCCTTTGAAAGTCCTCCCTCTACAACTGGTCCCCACTGCCAGCTCCATCCTCATCTCACATCCTCATCTGGCTTTACACCAAGAATTCTAAGAACAATAGTTCCCAGCATGCTATCCGTACACCCTCTGCTCCTGTACCTGCTGCCCACCTACCCGGATGGGTTCCTACTTCTACTTCTTCTGTACCTGGTTCACGCCTACGCTTGTTAAGATTCAGCTCAGATCGCTTCTTCCCAAGGAATTGGTGTAGGCGGTCCTCAGAGCCCCCAGAAAAATCAATGTGGTGTCAACATTATTTCATGATTTCAAATCATGTCCACCACAGGACTATGAGCTCCTAGTCAGGTATGTCTTATTCACATTTTTATCCCAGATTCAAGCACACTGCCTTGCATATAACAGAATGACTGTTTAATGTAATGATTATTAAGACGGTCTTTGAAGTAAAAAATCGTATCTTGAATATTAGTCTAACCATTTCCTAACTTTTGACTGAGCTACCCAGGTGCCCCCCAGTGTGTGCTATTCTAAAGCCAATCCTACACCTTTGGCTTCTAGTGAAAGCTCCCAAAAATATGGCGACCCAGGGAGCTCAGCCATAAGTCTACAAGGATCATGAAAACTATTACCTAAAGCCACCCCTCTCTGAAGAGGAAATATATCTGACCTTTTTGGCCTTGGGCTTGCTCACTCATTCGTGCGTGCTCTCTAATTCTTTCTCTTTTTTAAATGGATCCAATAATAGGCCCCATTTTCATCAAATACCCAGTGTTAAAGAATGCTTAAGTCAGCCAAACCATTCTAGTGAGTTAGCAAAAACTCAGAGGAAAGAGTAGTTTTCTAAATACTATAAATTAGCCCAGAAGTAATCCTGCAATAGGCTATTAAGAACTAGCCTATCAGTTGTTCTTCATAGGCCCAAGAAAAAGGTGGATACATGTAGTGTGAGAATGACCAATGAAATAAAAGAAACCAGGTTTTCAGAAAGGAGGTACCAATTACTAACAGTCAAGTGGTCTCCACTGCTTTCCATTTTGGACATTTCTAAATTAAATAGATTTGTTTTCTACAAAGCAAGTACTGTATCAGTTTTAGTAAGGAAAAAAATCTATCTTCAAATTTTATCTTCGTAAACTCCATAATAAAGAACAGTTTTGGTTTTTCCTTGCTTTATATGACATATAATTAATTCTTATCTAGAACACTTGATGAAGGAAACAAATGAAAAAATAATAAATTTTTTGATTTTATTTTTAAGTAATCTTTACATCCAATGTGGGGCTTAAACCCACAACCTCCAGATCAAGAGTCACACACTCTACCAACTGAGCTAGCCTGCCACCCCCAAATAATAAAAAATCACCTTGGATGAAATGATAGACTCTTCTTGATCAGCATTTTTGTACTTTTTCCCCATGTCTTGCTCTGCTGATGTACTTTCTGATGAAATGAATCGCTTTCTTCCTCCTTGCTGTGTTATGTTTACTTGAGTTTTATCTTTGCAGATTCCTTCTTTTCTACTTCCCTGGATTACAGTATTATCTTAAACACACAAAGAAAAACAAGAAAAAAAATTATGTCTTGTATCTTCAAATGTCAATAATCCATTAAAAGAAAGAAAGAAGGAAAAAGATAAAAGGGCAATTAAAAGTAAAGTTCCATTTATATTCATGCCAACTTGAAAACACTTATTTGCAAATCCCAAAAAAGTATTAAGCAGCACTTTGGCCAGGAGCTCCAGCCCTGGAGAAAGCCCAGCCAAAATTTAACATATAGCTATCCAATGAAGCTGACATCTAATTATTGGGCCCCTAACATCCACATGAGGAATTCAACTTCATAACAGATTAAGAACCCAAAATAACCCAAAAGCGAGACAAACTTCACCAATTTAGAAAATAAGTCACGATAACAATAATGGACATTGTTCCCCATAAAATATTTACCTGAGTTCACTATATTTGGCAAACCTCAGTCAACATAATTTTTGGTTAATAAATCCATGATCCTTCTAATCAGAAAAAAACATCTACTCTTTAAGGGGATAATATCTGTGTTTAATTATCTGCCTCCCTTACACTCAAATGACAACTTAACATGGGCAGAAACTTTATGCGCCTTGTTCATTGTTCCCCTCTGGTATCTCTAGCACATAGAAATGTGCTCGCATAAAACTGGTGTTCAGTAAATGTCGACTAAATGAATTGTGAACATAAACAGAATTGGTCCAAAGATTCCCTCAAGAGCCTGAATATAGGTCTGAATATTCCTATAGTCACTAATGTTCTGAAGCCAGGTTTATCAAATTTTTCTACAAAGAGCCAGAGTATAAATATTTTAAGTTCTGTTGGCCATACAGTGTCTGTCACAACTACCGAACTCTGCCTTCATGGTGCAAAAGCCGCCACAGGCAAGACATACATGGATGAGCACAGCCGTGTTCCAGTAAAACTTTACTGACAAAAACAGGCAGCATGCTGGATTTGGCTCATGGGCTGTAGTTTGCTCAGATCTGTACTAAAGGATATCAAGAGGCCTGAAATAACATTCCTTCATTAAAGTCAAGAAAGAAAACACTGTCCGTATTATTTAACAGGAAAATCAATTGAATCAATATAAACATAATATATTTAACGTAAGAAATTTATGAATAACCTGTTCAATAACTAAACTTTACCTAAATTCCTTAAATATTTGCTTTGAATCTAAATTCAGAGATTTCATATCATTTTAGAAACTGTCAGGAATAAGACTAAATAGGACGATACAGCTTCATGCAGCAAATGTCCAAATGCTACAACAGATATGGATTAATCAAATCAAGAAAAATAATCAACTGTGGTACTGCTTCCTATGCTAACTACAAATGTAAATTAAGACACAGCATTTGCCCAAATGGCAGTTTACCATATTCCAAGTGTCACACATGTACATAAAATCATAAAATTAGGGGTACCTGGGTAGCTCAGTCAGTTGAGCTTCAGTCTCTTGAGTTTTGGCTCAGGCCATGCTTGGGGGTCATGAGATCACAGGCACTGAGTAGTATGGTATGTGCTTTAAAGTCTCTCCTTCTGACCCTCCACTCACCCCACCCACACCCCCTGCTCAAGTATATATACACTCTCTCTCTTTAATAATAGTAAAATCTTTTTAAAAAAATCATAAAATTAAAAATGTATACTTAAAAAACTCTTTAAGATTCCAAATTCTCTACTTACAAATATCTTTTCACATAGGAAGAAGCCACTCTGATATTGTTGCAAAAATGCTCTTTACAAAGAGTCAATAAAATAAATAGCTTAATTAGCTTGTAACAATCTTCAAATCTAGCATATCAAATATTTTTTAATCTAGAATAGGTACAGTTAAATGACTACAATATAAAAGAAAATTTGTTAAAACAAATCACTTTATTTTTAGTATCACTAGTTGCATTTACTTATACTTACATGAGCGATTGCACTAACAGTATATGAATGCTAGCCCAACTATATGCACATGTCATTACAACTACATCCAACCAACTTTAAGAACCCTAACAGTTATATTAACAATGTGAAGTGTACCCTTCCTAACTTGCTAAGGTTAACCCAATATACCTACAAATACATATATGTAAACACACACAGGACTAAAACTATAAATGCTATTATTGTTGTGGGATAAACATGCAGAATAAGAATTTTTTTTAAGAACAAGAATTTATAAATCAAGGAGTATTCTATACTTAAATATGTAAGAGATACTGGCAAAGTAGTCATATGTTTATTGCCTATTTGTATTTATTCTTCTGTAGTATGTCATATACCATGCCCCAAACTTCTGAGTTTTACCTTTTTTTGTTACTAAGTAAACAATTACTAACCTTCTATCTTTTCTCAGTGTGACAGGTAACATCTCCCGGTAGGTTTGCCAGTCTGACTTTGTTTATAGTCTCTTCTGCCACAATTTTTTTTTTTTCATTTTTAACCTAAATGCTCCTGTCAATTCTTCCCTGATGTCCCAAGCTCCCTATCATCTTCAGAAAGCCTCCCAGAAGTAATAAAAATATTGTTTCCATTTTTTCTTCATATGCCTTAGTTTTAAATTTTACATTAGGACTATTAATTCAATAAAAATTTAAGAATATAGTATGAGGTAGTGCTCTAATACTGTTTTCTTCCAAATGGAAAGCTAATTTTGTCAACATCCTTTATAGTAATGATGCATCCTTTCCCTACCAATTTGAGCTGATAATTTTTAATATATGAACTATATGTTAATTTGATCTGTTTCTGGGGGTTTCATTCATTTTCTACTGGTCTAACTTACCTATTCCTGGGCTAGGACAACTGTTAAAAGTAGGAACCAGGCCCAGATTGTGATATAAAAAGATTCAATAAAGAAACAGGTATTTCTGTTATTCAAACTGTCCTTTGGAAAAATCTCCTAATTCATTGTATACAATCGATGCACAGCTCAACACTAACATCTGACATAGATGGCACATATGGAGGAAAATACTAATCACACTTTTGAAATACAAACACAAATGTTCTAAGCTAAATATCAGCAACTCTGATCTAACAGAGCTTAAAAATAATAAGCCATCATGACAAATAAAACATATTCCAGGAACCCAAGCATGGTACATTAGGAAATCTACCAACATCACTAATTACACTGACACAAGAAAATGCAGAACTATTTCTTTTTTTTTTTCTTTTTCAGCCCCACGCCCATCCCACCGCTCGTCTATGCCCTCCCTGCCTCCACCCCCTCCACCCCTTTGCAGGACTATTTCTATACCAAAAAACTTGTTAAAGAATTCAGTAGTTGTTTCTGAAGGGAAAATAAGAAAAAGAAAAAACATCCTAACCATGATAAGAGTATCAGAATTGAATACCAATCACTTTAGTACTGAAATACTAATAGAATTTCTATTAAAATCGGGAACAAGATAAAGATGCCAATTTTATTCATTTTTTAAAATATTTCATTTATTGATAAGTAAATTATTTACAATAAATAAATAATTTTATTTATCTGCAAAAACAAATAGAGAGGGAGCACAAGCAGGGGGAGCGGCAGGCAGAGGGAGAGGGAGAAGCAGGCTCCCCACGGAGCAGGGAGCCTGAGTGGGACTCGATCCCAGTACTTGAGCCAAAGGCAGATGCTTAACTGACTGAGTCACCCAGCCACCCCAATTTCATCCACTCTTATTTAAAATGTATAGGGTCTGGTTCATGAAACAAAAATTTGTTTAAAGGCGGTAGGTAGAGCAGAAGAGGAAGAATTATCATAATTTTGTAGACATGGCTGTAGAGCTAGATAATCTGAAAGACTTAAAAACTATTAGAATTAGATAATTTAGGGCTGCTGGAAATAAAGTAAACACAGAATAACTAGCACTTAGAGTAAATTTTAAACTATAGTTAAATTAATAGAATGTCAGTTCAACATTTACAGTCTGAGTTGAGTGGCCATGTGGAAAATACTCAGAGTTTAAAATTAAATGCAAACCAAGTGATCTGGGGATGACTTCAATCTTTTTCAGCATATGCCACTTTCCATGACTTCGTGTTGGAGGGTTAGAAGATGGGAGAAGAAGATGGGAGAGTAGTACGATACCTGTTACAAAAGTAAAAGCTCCTTTTGCAATCCAGCAGGAGTGTCATAGCCCTGGAATCATGACTTGTCCCAGAGCCTAGAAGGCTAAGGGAGCAGAGATGACTGGAAGCCAAAAGAAGAGAAGCTCTGAAAGCTCACCCAAGTGAATGTATATTCACTTGCCAATCACTAAGGGACATGGAGAAAAGTTTACCTCAAGCCTAAGAAACTCATGATAACATCTGAGGGCTAGTACCTGGGGACCCAGAAAAATAAACTAGAACTATATTGGCTGAAAAAACGAAAAGGACAGCCTGATCACAGCAAATATTCAGGTACAGTTTAGGATTAAACCAAGAGTTACACAGAGAAAAGACCTAGGAGAGAATGCAAGGGCATGATATTAAAACAGAAAAGAATAAAAACACCACAACATAGAAGGGGTAAATTTAGGTGGCTGTATAGCACCATAGCTCAGAAGATGGGCTTTAAAGTCAGACCGAGCTAGGTCTGTTACAGCTCTGGCCTTTATTACGTGATCCTGGAGCAGCCATTTAACGTCAGTTCATGTTATCTGTCCTGTACCTAATGATACAAAAGTTTCCAAAATATCAAGTTAATCAGATAATCTAAATAGCTATCAATGAACAAAGCATAGCACTAAAGCTATAAAACACCTAAGAAAGTAACCTACTTCTAAATGAGTTCAAAATGCACTCTAAAAATTGATTTTTAAAAATCTCTAGCATTGATCTATTGACCCGGATGACTTATTACTCAAACAAACAAAACAACAATAATAAAAAACTACTCGGCAGAAAAAAGTCAAATTATTTCAATTTTTAATTAGCTGGATTCAGGTACTAAACTGTCTTACGTGTACTTCTAAATCTTTCTGTCTCTAAAGGAATCAAGTAACCTACATTTGCTTTTACAAGTACCCCTCAAAGTCTGCTTATGAGAAAAGAAGACATGCGAGAATCCAAAGACTTTTCTATCTTATTTTGAAGCTTTGGCATTTTATGTATATTGTGTATTATATAACATTCTTGTCCAAATTAATGTCAAATTGCTAAGTCCTTGGCTGGCTGCTGAGCCACATGTGCTTGGGAGGAAAAGCAGCAGCTGGAAGCCACTAGGGCTATGCAGAGGCTGTGGCTGCTGACCACAACAGGGGAGACAGACGTTAGGGCCCAAATCAATCGCCTATTAGAAGAAAGTTGCCTATTATGCCAAATTAATTGTCTATTAAAACAAAAATATTCAGAGGAACATAAAATCAAAAATCTCTACAATGTATCATTCCTAACATCCACTATCCCCTAGAAAGTTACTAAACTTGAGAATGAACAGAAAATGTGACCAGTATGAAAGAAAACAAGCAGTCAATAGAAACTAAACCTGAGATGGCTACAAAGTTGCAAAAAAGACCAACAGAGACAACACATCAAACATTTTCATGATCCTGAATCAATGGGATGCCCAGCTGGTGACATAAATCACTGTGGCATCTGCCATGACAGTGAGCTGTGCCAGGACAGAGGTCCTCTCCTTTGCATCCTCCAGCGCATAATATTGTGTGCCCAGCGGTTTTTACTCAACCAATTTAGAAAGCTCTTACTGTGCTAGCCTTTTATCGTTGACGAGACACCAACACGTGTTTGAAAATCTAAATTAATATATGTCCAGCACATAAGATGAACCGCACTTATTAAATGAAAAGGTAGGGATCCCTGGGTGGCACAGCGGTTTGGCGCCTGCCTTTGGCCCAGGGCGGGATCCTGGAGACCTGGGATCGAATCCCACGTCGGGCTCCCGGTGCATGGAGCCTGCTTCTCCCTCTGCCTGTGTCTCTGCCTCTCTCTCTCTCTCTCTCTCTCTCTCTCTGTGTGACTATCATAAATAAAAAAATTAAAAAATAAATAAATAAATCAAAAGGTAATTAGGACAATGCTGTATGATAAAGGACATAAAATAATAACTTACGTTTTAAGTTAGATTTCACGTACATGTCTAAAAAAATGTTAGGCTAAGTGATCACTGACACACAACCACTAGTCTAACTCCATTTGTTCAGAAAAACTTCCAAATTCTGCTTAATGTTTTCTAAACAAAACCTACCCTCGCTGCTGACTGGCGCTGAAAGGTTCTGATCACTTGGATCTTCCGTTAACATCCATGCTGGAAGGATTCTTCTCCTCTCGGCAGGGTTTGACTGTTGCTTACTGAGCTCTCTATGCTCACCTAGGAAACACTAAAAAGGCATGTATGTATTAATTACTAAAAATAATCATGCAACCTTTAATGAAATTGTAAAATTATTTGCTTGGCAGAAGACTACCTTTTTAAAAAAATTCTATCTGCAACCCTGGACTGAATTAGTCAAATTCCTCAAAGAAAAAAATTCATTATCTCTATTAGTTGACATGGGGACTAGTACATTCTGTTCAGCTTAACCTAAAAACAGCAGTGCCAGTACTACGGTCATGATAGGCCTAATTTCAGTTGTCTTTTCTCTCCTTGAATAAGGAGTATATTACAAATGGATGAGATCTTAAATTTCTCACCTCACTATTTGCAGTAGTAGTTTGGGTCTCAGCTACTTCTGTGCTTCTTTCCAGCTGTGGGGCACCCGTTGTCTCATCAGGTGAGTGAGCCGAGAAAGATTCTGATGTACCACTCAGTATATTATCTTCATCAAGCATCTGACTATTCCTATAAAATAAAATTAAAAATCACTGAAAACACTTCAATTGTATCACGTCATCATAAATGTGATTCCCCCAAGGACATCTAACCAATCAATTGTAATCCTTTCCTTGGCCTTTGCAAGACAAAAAAAGATTGTAACATACTAGAATGAAATATATGACTAAAATATGTTCTTCATCTGCTCACTATATCAGCATAAAATACATTTATCTTTCTAAATCATCGGCCTAGAAATCACTAGCTATTTATAGATGGGTAGCAGCCATCTCTCTTAAGGCTTAAGAGCTATGTACTTAGTACTTCTCCGGATAGCTCATACACAAGTTAACATCGCTACCCAGCATCCAAAGAGAAAAAGCAAACCGCAAGAATATCAGATAAGCTAATTTGGCTTTTGAAGAAAAAAAATAAAATCCTGATGTCATGTTCACACGTGGCTGCCACTGGAGTTCTAGCCAGGATAGCCATTTGTGAAATCTCCCCAAACCTGTAGTCCAACTGGAAGCTAAATGTTCTGATATTTAGGAGCATCCACGGTCACGTGTGGAACATACTAGCAGAACCAACTACCTCCCACTTGCTGCAAAGTGCAATAAGATCATCCAAAGCTGACGGGTCATTATTCATTATACAGACATACAATCCAACAAATGTACTTTTTTGAAAATCTGAAAATATAGATGGAAATATTATCCAGAAATAGTAACGAATAAACTACTGATACACAACAGGGATGAATCTCCAAGGCATTTTGTTAAGTCAAAGAAGTCGACACCAAAAGGCTACATATCATATAATTCCATTCCTACCACATTCTGAAGACATAAAGTTACAGGGACAGAAATCAGATCAGTGGTTGCCCCGGCCTGGGGGTGGAGCATGAGGGTGCTTCCTAGGGAAATGGAAATGTTCTCTAGCTCACTGTGGTGGAAATTGCACTACTACATACATTTGCCAAAGGACATTGAACTGCACATTTAAAAGGGGTGAATTTCACTGTGTGTAAAAATGGAAGACAGAGATTTTAGAAATGTGTCCAGCTGAGAAGACACTACTTGATGGCTTGTTTTATTGCTTATATAGGAATCATCTCCAAAGGCCGACTGCATTTCAATGGCAGAAATCAGCCAAAGACAACTACATTACTATGCAATGGGGCAGTTTTTCTCATTCAATAAATACCTGTTTTTATTTGAGCATTGTGGACTCACAGTGTTACCTTAGTTTCAGGTGTACGACACAGCGACTCAGCTTCTCTACAGGTTGTGCTGTGCTCAGGCATCTGTTACAACACCATTACAATATCACTGCCTGTATTCCCTACACTGCGCCTTTCCATTCCGTAAGTATTTGTATAACCCCTCGGTGTGTCAGGTACTGTGCCTGGAGATAGACTGAAAACGTATGATTCTCCCAACTATCATACCTCACTCCCCTTCCAATATTCAGATCCATTTTACTCAGAAGATACAGGTGTGCTTCCAAGTTACGATGTTTCCTTAAATTCTCTTAATATTTAATTTGAAAAAATATTAAGAAAAATTCAATTGCGCAATGGCTTTCCACAATTTATGATATTAGAAACTAAGCAACATTGTCCATTCTATTTCTAGTTTATCTTCTCTTGTGGCAGAAATTCAAGATGAATACACACTTTGTGTCCCATAGAGAACTTTTTTAAATATTTGCCAAGAATAAATGTGACAACAAAAGATAATCTAATCCACGAACAAAATTCTAATTGTTATTTAGTTCCAAATAGGTCAAAGTACACATTATTTTATTATACTTTTATTTAAATGTCAAATATTGTCACTCTGATACAGCTGTGTTTTTATTTTATCTCCAATCCTTCTATGAGCAATCAACCATCACGGGATTTATAATGTAATGCTACCAGAATTTGCTAAATAAAAAAACTAAAAATTGGAAACTTGCCTAAATACAGGATAATAAAGCTAATTGAGTTACTTTTTTAAAATAATAGCTTTATTGAGATTTGATTCATTTAAACAAAAATTCATGCTAAGTAGAACTTAGCAGTTTTTAGGACATTCACAAAATTAATCTATAATGCACCCATCATCAGCATCTAATTTTAGATCCTATGCATCACCTCAAAGAGAAATCCTGTATGAATTAGTAGTCCCCTTGCATTCCCTTTTTCTCCAGCCCTTGGTAACTGCTAATCTACCTCTGCCTCTATGGATTCACATTTTCTACACATTTCACAGAAATGGAACCATACAAGTTTTTGTGTAGGCACATGTTTTCAAATCTTTGGGGTACATACCTGGGAGTAGATTACATACCACATGTAATTCCTTGTTTAAAATTTTGAGTAACCATCAGAATACATTCCAGACACTATATCATTTTACAACCCCACCAGCAATGCATAAGCATTTTAATTTCTACACATCCTCAACTACACTTGTTATTATATGTCTTTTTGAGTACACCCTTTTTAGAAGATGTGCGGTCTTATCCCATTGTGGTTTTGATTTGCATTTTCCTAATGACTAATCATGTGATCTTTTCATGTGCGTGGATAATCGCCATTTGAATATCTTCTTTGGGGAAATGTCTACTCAAATCCTTCATGCATTTTTAATTAGTCTTGCCTTTTTATTGTTGGATTGTAAGACTTCTTTATATATTCTGGATGTAAGTTCCTCATCAGATATATGATCTACAAATATTTCCTCTCATTCTGTGAACTGTCTTTCCACAATCTTATGGTGTCTTAGAAGCAAGGAAGCTTTTAATCATGATGAAGTCCAATTTATCCACTCTTTCTTTGCTTGTGCTTTCGGTGTTATATCTAAGAAACCACTGCCTAATCCAAAGTCACAAAGATTTATGTCTGTATTTCTTCCTAATTTCATAGTTTTAGCTCTAATATTTAGGTCTCTGATCCATTTTTATATGGTGTGACATAGGAGTCCAACTTCATTCCTTTGCATGTGGCTATCCACTTGTCCCAACACCATTTGTTGAAAAGACTATTGTTTTTCCCATTTAATTGTCTTGGCACTCTTGCCAAAAATCAGTTGGCCATAATGCAGGGGCTTATTTCTGGACCCTCAGTACTATTTCACTGATCTATATGTCTTTCTTTATGCTAGTACCATACTGTCTTCATTACTATAGCTTTGTAGTAGGTTTTGAAATTGGGAAGTATGAATCCACCAATTCTTTTTTTTTTCAACTTTTAGAAACCATTTATTTTCCATCAACTTTATTTCCATTTTGTCTGCCTTTGTGGAAGAGCACTTTAAGACCACTCGGTGGGTCTTTCTACCTATTCAATAATGGCCTGAGAAGTGGAGGCTGCAGACCAGTCTTCAGGGGCAGGCTGAGTGTGCCAGTCTTCAGCAGGGAACTGCTGAAGAGACACAGAGGCCACGTGCACACCTTCAGACCAGCCTGCAACTTCAGGTTGGGTAGTGGTGAAGTCAGGAGCTGGAGCAGAGCATTCACCCTGAACCTCCTTGTTGGTCACAGCCTTTTCGGCAACAGGCATCTCTTCCTTTTCAAGCTCTTGAGGATCTCTGTGCAAGCAGAGATCAGGCCTGACTTGCCAAGGGTGTTCACAGGGAACGCCATGCACACACAGTACTTCCCACACGAGCGTCCACCACATCAGACTCACTACTGGCCTCCCTTGGTGCAAGAAATGGCAATGTCCATGAGTGCAGAGGAGAGTCTGTCTTACACGGAGCGATGGTAGGCAGGTTAACATGAGACGCCTCCGTGAGAGGATCAGCCCTTGATTCAGTAATTACCAGAAGCTGCCTAGATCTGGTTAGTGAAGGTTTCAGGAGTGAGGCAGCCAGCAGCAGGAGCGGCTCTGGCGCAGCAGCAAACTTCAACACAGCTCGCTGGCAGTATTCCCAGATGATGTGACACTGACATCAACAGGGTCTTCAACAGCAAGAGTGGCACGAGCTGCCAGCAGAAGTTTCTCCCAGTTTCTCTTCAATTTATGATGTAGATGCACTGTTTTCCTCTGGTAGACACACTGTTCCATTTGGAAGTCAAGGTTGGTGCCAACAAAGTGGGCTCCTGCTGCAAGGAATTTGAGGACATCCTCCTCCTTCATTTCTGGGACATCAAAGGCTCCAGACTCTATGAAAGTTTTCCTTTAAGTTTTGACAGGAATCCCTGACTCCGACAGGAAGCTTGTTCTGGTGGCTTTGGGGGGTGCTAGGTACCCCACAGGGCATTCATGAAGAATAACGCTGTAAAGACTCCTCCTTGGGTAATGCGGAAAACTGCTTTCTTCTTTTTAAAGTCTGTTTTAGCAATTAAGTTATCCTTAAATCTTAAAAATATACTCCAAATTAAATTTAAATATAAATTATACATTTTTTATCTTTAATATAAAATATGCTAACATAAATGAATTGGATCTAGAAATAAATTTTTAAAATCATAAATGAATTGTAGACATGTATATTATCATACTATAGTGGTATTTTCATTTTACTGTTTTGTTGAAATTAAAGTGAATAAAATTAGCTTTTTATATGAAACCTAAAAATTAAGAGCTTAAACAATTTGAAAAAAAATAACTTTGCATGACATGAGGTTTACTGTACTTTTCTTAACAGTGTCTTATGGAAAATAATCTCCCTAGAGAGACAATGTTGTACTTCATCAGTGAAATTCAGATACAAAATTCAGAAACAAAAACAAAACGCTATACAATATCTCATTCATATATTTAAGAACCCAATCTTTGCTGAGCACTTGCTACTAGAGAGGCAGAAAGAATGAAAAATTAATGTTGGTGCTTCTGAATGAAATATGCCATAATGTAATTTAAAAAAACATAAAACTAAGTTGTTGTTTTTTTTTTTAATTTGGCTTTCTCTGACTTCTCAAAAAAGTATGGGTTTTGGTATTTCTAGCAGAATAATTTCACAGAAATATATACAGAAAAGAGTGAGAAATGAACAAACTGATGAGAACTGATGTGAACAGACCCTTATACTCTCCAGGAGTTTGTTATAAATAGGATTTCTTATACAGAATCTGACTACTACATGGAAAACAGTATGAGTAAAATGAAAAGTGAAAGAAATGGCAAGCTTTGTTTTCTCAGGTTTTTATGCTGTTCTTTTGTTGTTCAAATCTTTTTTATATTCACAACTGGCTGGAAGAAAAACTTCATAATGGCATCAGGGACCCAACCACTGCCACAAAGCACATGGGTTTTTAAAATATAAAATAACACAATTAATTTGGTTGCTCTAATCCAGGCACACAATGACCAAATCATGCGCAAAATATTACCTCTTTCAAAACACAGCTTCACAGCAACAATATACCAAATGATATTACTCATAATAAATAACCTAAAAAAGTACAGTGCTGCTGGATTGTATTCTTACTTTTGTCAATACTAAAAATATTCAGAATTTAGTCAGCCCACAATCTCATTTATTTAAGGTACAGCACTAGTCTTTCAAGTTAAGGGGACAAGCTTGTTTGAATGGATATAAATAAAATTAAAATTGACATATAATACTTTAAGCATAAGGCAATGATTGTGTTCTGTTTATAGAGATGTGCAATATTTTCCTGATTTTTTTAAAAATGATTTAATTCCACTGTGGAAATTTACTGTAATAAAAAAAAATTAAATCTTTATATTTCTCATTTCAATAGCTGGTTAAAAATAGCATTGTTTCTACCTGTGTAATAAGAGAAAAAAGAAGAGGAAGACAGGTAAAGTTGCAAGCAACAGTGACTGAATTTCATTTAACTGAAATCAAAAACCAAACCATTTCCTCACATAATTTTTCATTTCCTAGTTTGAAAAACTGTAGATGTAATTTGTATTTACTGCAATATACAGATCTGAAGCACATGATTTGGTCAGTTTTAACAGATGCATACACCCATTTAACCCACAACTGGCTGATTTTTAATACTACTGTAATTACAGAACACATTCTGTGTACTTTTGTCTACCTACTTCTATAAATCTAGTTTATGTAGAGTATAATTTAACAGCTGAAATAGAGGCAAATAATATCTGCTAATGACTGCCTCAACAAAACTAGTGCATTAATTTTAACTTTACATCAGATGTTTATTGTAATATCTCACATCCTCAGTTTCCCAATTCTATATTTTCCGTTATTTTCATAAGAAAGAGGAGTTATATGCATGTAGTCTAAGCCAGAGGGATTAATAACTTAATAAAACTACAAAAGCTAAAAGGAAAGGTTAAGAAAATATAGTTGGTTTCAAATTAACTATCTTGGGTACTATTAGATGGAAAATACATTCTGAACACATTGGCAAAAGAAACCACATATGCAGGCAATCACTATTGAGGTGTAGGTTTCCAATGTCAAATGTTTTCTAGAGAAATACAAACACATAACCACATGCATCCCATGTAACTCCTATACTGCCAACATAGTTTAATCCTAGAAAAGTTTCTACTGGAGCATTTGTGGATGGCTGAGGAATTAGGTTACAATTACCAATTAAGTAACCTAATTATCATTAGGTTACAATTACCATTTTAAAGATTTTGTTTATTTATTTGAAACAGAGAGCCAGCATGAGCAGGGAGAGTAGCAGAGGGAGCGGGAGGGACAGGGGGCTTGATCCAAGGAAACCTGGGATCCTGACCTGAGCCGAAGGCCAATGGATGCTTAACCCACTGACCCACCCAGGCGCCCTCAGGTTATAATTACCATTACTTAATCTCATTTCATCAGGCAATCTTACCTTAAAGTACATTCCATTTCTGTTTCAGAGTGTGTAGAGAAAACACAGAAAATGTACTTGTCGATTAGCAAAGAAAAACTGTCTCCAGGACTCAACCAGCGCCATAGATTTTTCTTCAATGGTAAGAGCTGGCTCTTCTCGGAAGACTGATAAAAACATGGATTTGTGTGTATCTAACAAATAAAAAAAGAATACAGTGATATAATTCTAAATTATGAGAAGAACACAACTAAACACAAACTGATTCAAAATTTCAGTATCAATACAATTTCATTACAAACTTAGACTTTAAAGTCTAATAAATCTGGCACTTATATAAGTACCATAATATTATCTAAACCTAAAAAAAGGAAAAAGAGCTAAAATATTCTTCTCACTTCTCAAGGAATCAAAGAAAAAAAGCAAAGTTATCAATTAACTAATTAAAAGACATTTGCTTAAGAGTGACAATCAAACATTAGAAAAAGAAATATGAAAAATAATTCTCAGTATGGAAACTGAGTCCCCCAACTTTCATATCCATAATTCACTAATCCCTTGAAATGGCTAGCTTATTTTTTACTTATTTTATACTTCTTTTCCCCAATAACTTCTTTCTTTGTAGGATTAAAAAATATTATAGGAAGAGAGATTTTGATCAAATCTCTCAAGCAAACATAGCTTGTTTCAATTGTTTTTGGTCCTCACAGGAGTTTTCTAATATACACTAATATAGAAAAGGGAGCATTACAAGAAAAGCTGCCAATAAAAAATAAGCATTGTTGTCTACATACCCAAATTAAAAAAAAAAAAAGACAATGTTGAAAGCTATAATGAATATGATCTATCTGGTACTGGCAATTTAATTTCATGAGGATCTGGCCATAAGTCCTATGTGTATCTGCAATTAAAAACATTTCTATTTCCTTTAAGTTTGTTAAAAGAAAGGAGTGAAATAAAATTTGGAGATAAAGAGTAGAAATAGAAGCTGAAAACAGAGATTATACAAATTTGGTAGGGGATTATTTTATAGGCCAGAGTTATTTTACAAACTATATACAAGACTTCATAAGAATGGACTTGCAGTGGAACACCGTATTTATGTAACACCACATTGCTAAAAAGAATTGTGAATGTCTGATTTTTAAAAATCAAGTTATAGTTTCACGTTTAGAAACCTTTCATTACGGTATCAACCACCCCTAATTTATCTCTCAGATGACCCTGGCTCATGGCTAGAGTTTTGAAGCCAAGACAAACCACCAGATTCTGAGCTTGCGCACATTGCTGCGCTTGGAAATTGTTCCCTGTTATTCCTCGGACTTTAAAGGAAGCCTTCCCTTCCCTGAGAACACCACAATCATCAGAGTCAGGAATGCTGGGTAGCAAGAGGGACAAGAGTCAGGACAGAAATATTCATAGCTTCTGCCTGAACCTCGAATATTCTATAAATGAGGTTTGCTTCTAATAGGCTAAGATACAACCATGCTCTTATTCATAAGTATTTTAAAGATTCAGATGAATCTCTAAGCAACATTAAATTACAACAGTCCTAAATTCTCACAGGCCAAGATGTTAAATACAAAGGCATAATATTCTAAGAATAGAAAAGGTAAAATACTTTTTAAAAAAGGAAACTAATTACATTCTTTTAATAAGGCATCACAAACCCGAAGTGAAAGAAATGGTCATTTTCGGTATTTTTTACTCAGTTGGATATACTTAGCATTTAAATTTTAAGTGGTAAATATTAGGTATTTAGTAAATATCTAAAGAGAAAGAGGACCAATGTATGTCATCCATGATCAACTGTTTCTTCTAAAATTGTTCATACAGGGGATTCCAGCACCAAGATCAAAAATGACATTCCTATAAACTAATGTAATATTTGATCCTATAATTTAAACCTAGAGAAATATTACTCATTGAATAAGTTTTTAAAATCTATACCAAACTATACATACTTCTGGGCACCGAGGTGGCTCAACAGGTTAAGCATCTAACTCTTGATTTCAGCTCAGGTCATGACCTCAGGGTCATGAGATCAAGTCCCGTGTTGGGCTCCATGCTGGGCCTAGAGCCTGCTTAAGATTCTCTGTTCCTCTTCCTCTGCTCCCCTCCCTCCATAAAGAAACAAACAAACAAAAAACCCAACTATATACACTTCAACTAAAAAGCCACACAGACATGAAGTCTAAAACAAAGGGTAGTTTTTAGAAAGTTATAAAGTAGACAAAAATCTAGCAATATTGATAGACAAAAAGGGAGAAGATACACGCAAATTTTGAAATGAAAACAATGACATAGGCACACATAAAACTTGGTGGTATACTGCAAGTGCTTTGTGCCGATGTATTTGTAAATACAGCCAAGATGGACAATGATCTTAGAGATTATATACCAAACTGACTTAGAAAAAAAGGTATGTATGTGTGTGTGTGTCTTTTGGAATTAGACTGATAATATTTTAAAAATACAATCAGTAATTAAAAATCTTTCTAATCTCTCTCCAAACCAGACCTCAATGGATTTAAAATTTTTCTGAATATTCAAAGTCTTCCTGAGACCAGAAAAAGATGGAAAGCTCTCTAATTCCTTCAATAAGGCTCAGTTAACTCTGATTCTAAAAGCAGATAAGGGCAGGCAAAATATTGGCAAACCCAGAGTCACAGTGAGAACAAGATATGAGCCACTTATTATGAGAAGCATATTTTTGGGAAGTGCCTTTTAACATATTCATGGGATTATAAGTGCAAACTTAAATAATATTATGTTCTAATTTTAGAAGTGGTGCAAAGGATGCATTAATCCTGAAGAAATGGAACTAAAATACAAATCAGTTTTCCATAGTTTCTCTTGTAATTATCATAACCATTAAGAAGGACTGATGTGTGCAACCTGAATTCCTCTTATTTTCAATGTTTTCTCTTTTTAATTTGGAAAGCATTCGTTTTTCTTTTCTTTTTTTCTTTCTTCTTCCTCTTTTTTTTTTCTTTTACAAAATGAGCTGTGGAAAAGCTATTGTATATTTTATAGCTGTTTTCCAAGTACGCTCATAGGAAGAAAAACAATCACAACTTAGGAATTTTAATGCACCAAAGAAAAAGAGCAGTCACCCAAGGATGCATATTTTGAAGATTAACACCAAGTGGCAAAAAACATATCTAATCTTTTGCAATTTATATGTAGTTATAGAACCACTCTCTCAATCGTCCAAGAACCAAAAAGAGTAAGATTTTATTAAAATGAAATAAAAGCACTGACAGCTATGAATTCACCCGGAGGACATAACTAACCACTGGGGATGTGGTCATTTACAGACAACACTGTCATTTTGCCTTTATAATACATTTTCTTCCTGCTGATACCAGACAGTAGATTAAATTTAAATGACACACAAAAAAGCTAACATCATCTCCTCATGAGCTAACGTTATCTCCTACATACACTATTTCCAAGAACTGCTGAGAGCTAGAGCCTTTTTTAAAAGGAAATACTAGAGGAAAAAAAAGACCAATTCATCCAATTTAAAAGTACAAATTAGTAAATGCCCTAATTGCACTCATCTATTATTGTCAAAGTTACATTTCTATTTGATTGGATTTCTAATTTGAAGGAAAGCAGAAAAATATTTAATCACTTAAACATAATTTGGAGTACACAAGCCTACAGAAAGGATCATAACAAAACATTTACTATAATACATTTAAATAATGTTACAAAAAAATTTTAAGCTAAAACTTCTCTCAAAATTTTATCACAGTTGTATATGTAACCTTTACCGGATTAATTTATTCGTGATTGACTAGAGAACAGAGAGTAAATGATATTTAGCACACATTAAGGTAATACAAATGAATTAGAAGTCACTCTTCTATCTCATTATTTTCAAGACCTTAACATTTCTATTCACAATTATGGTCAGTTTAGAATTTTTCTAAATTTCTCTAAATTGCATCTTGCAGGTACAGCTACAATAAGTAGCTGAATAAATAAATATATCTACTTCAAGGAGAGAGGCGTTTTGTTCAAACTACATTAACATTAACAAGAAATCAAGCATTGCATAAAGCAAAATACCAATACACACATCACCAAGTCCAAGAAGCAGTATTCCTTCAAGTGGTATGGTATAAATAATTCATGGAATAAAATTCAGAACCCAATGAAATATTGTTCTAAAAGAGCAATCAAATTCTAGTACTAGAGTTGAAGATTTCCTTAAAATACACATTTTCATGTTTTCCAATGTTTGGAAGTTTGGCATTACAGAAGGAACTGCACTACACTGTACTCTTCTCTAACCTTTTTCATGTAGTAAGTACTCCATAGTAAGTTTTTAAAAATATAATACATGTTATTAGATATTATGTGTAGACCCACCACACAGTTTCAGAAAAAGTGTATTAACTTTTGATGTCCCTTTTAGTTTTGCCCATCCCATTCTCCTCTCAGTTCCTTCAGAGCTAAGTATTATACCGATTGTAGTGTTTGTCAATTCCTTAATTTTATGGTTTTATCACCTAAGCTTATAGCTGTGAATATACTGTTATTTTGTAGAACTTTTCATCTTATATAAATGAAGCTATATTGCATATATTCTTCCAAGGTTGCTTTTATCATTATCAGGTTCCTGGCTCTATCCCATTAGTTTTTCATGCTTTCACTATAATTTATCTTCACTGTTGTAGGACATTTCACCAAATGAATATATTATAATGTATTTATCAATTCCACCGTTGATGGAAATTATGTTGTGTCTAGTTTTTCGCTATGATATGAACAATTTTGCTCTTCAGGTGCTTGTAGACATCTATTGGCACACACATGTGTGTGAGGTCTAGCTTGTTGGGAATGAATGCCTTCATCTTCAGGAAATAATGAAGCTATTTTCCAAAGCTATTTTCCAAAGTGGCTGCAACATTTAAGCTCCCACCCAAACTTTTTAACTATTCTACTTGTTCTATATCCTCGTCAACACTTGAAATTGTTTGACTTTCCATTTTTGCAATCTGTCAGGTGTTAGTATCTCACTGCAGTTCCACTTACATTTCTCCACTTAACAAGAAGGCTGAGCACCTTACTCCTGTTTACTACATCAGATTTCCAATTCTGCAATGTGCCACTCAAGTCTTCAGCACATTTTCTCATTGGATTTTTATCTTTCTCATTGATTGAAGACATTTGCTATATATTTTGGATATTATTCCTTTGTCAATTACACGTGTTTTAAATAATGTCTCCCTGTTACATTTTTCATTTTCATTATAGTCTTTGCTAAGTAAAGGTTCTTAATTTCAATGTTATTGCATTTTTTTCAGTCTTTCTTTCTTATAGCTTATTTTAAAATCTTTCCCTACTCTGAGGTCACAAAGGTTTTTTTCATCTATAATCTAATAGTTTTATAGTTTTGACTTTCATCTTTAAACCAACCAAAACTGATGTGTATATGGTTTGAGGTACGGATCTATTTTTTTTCCCCTCAAACAAATAACAAACTGTCCCAGTATCATTTATGGATGAAAAGTCCTCTTGTCCACTGGTAAGTAATGCCAGCGCTGGCTCAAATAAAATTCCTATATACATAAGACCGAATCTAAGGTTCCTTTCAGTTGTAAATTCTATTGAACTGAAGGCACCAAAACTTCTTATGAAGAAAAATCAAGTTACTTTTAACTTCAAGGAATTTTTTTAAAGAAGAAAATACCAAATGGCAAAAGAATACTGACTTGGGAAATATGATGAAAAAAAAAAATACTGCATAGATTTCAAAGAACCTGAGTTCTAATTCCCATTTACAACTTGCTGACTATGTAAAATGAGGCATTCTCCAGAAGGCCTCAATGTTCTACGCTGTCAAAAACAATACTACCAAGAAAGTGTAAAAAATGTTTATCTTCCTCCCATGTATATAAGGTTACATTTACTAGAAAGTTCATAAATCATACTAAATAATATTTAAAAGATAAGTGTAAACAAAGGTATAACTTAAGTAAACAACATTATGTAAAATTTTTAGTTTTATATCTATGACCTCATGAGAAATTTTTGCTTCACCTTCTAATTTTATACCTACCACAGTTTGGTACGCAAAAGACACTTGTTGACTTCATGTAGTTATTTTACATGAGTACAATCTAATTAAAGAGCAAGGAAAAGTGAAGGATGTTTTCTACAAAATATCTTTTTTTAATTAAAAAATTGCTAAACTCTCATGTAGAAATCTGACCCACCTCACAAAAAATACAGTTTAACTCAAAGAGAGAATTTTCCATTAATAAAATCACTATTAACTTAAGTATACTTATATTATTACTTTTTTGAATAGTCACACAAGTTCAAAATATACCTGAATACTTTTCATCCAAGTATAGACACAACTCCAGTTAAGTATCTTGATTAAGCCACTTCGGAAAACATTCTAGTCTTCAAAACTAAAATATCCTTAATTAACACTGAGAAAAAATATAAGTAAGTTTTTCAATATTCATGCCTTAGTCAAAATGATGGTTTCCCAAATGGCCTACTTTTGATACATAAAAAATTTAATGCCATGTAAATTTTGTTGTAAGAAGGGTTTCTTCTTAGCACTGAGTAAATAAGAATATAAAAAGAAAATCTAATATTTATCAACTGTTCACAATTCAGTCGATTAATTTGCTTACAAATAAAAGTGCTGAGTTCTTAAAATGGATCATGTCATTGTCTACAACTCTTTTGCTACTATAAATTTTTCAGATGCTATTTGAAACAAAAGCAAGCTTCAAAGACATCAGAAATTATAGGTATTAACCAAGGATCTGTTTTTTTAAGTTGTGTAAAGGGTACTCTTGGTTTATTGATTTATTTTGTGATGTATGTATACATAGTAGGATTTGAATACTAATAATACAAATCTAGAAATATCTATAAACCTAGCAGGAGCTGATATTCTCTGCTTTGGTATCAAAAATAACTGGAAATCATTCACTGAGGACTATTTAGATGTTATACTTTTCCAAAAAGTTAATACTCACTATAAAGTTCTCCATTTCATTAACACGAATGATAGAGCAGTAAATCTAAATAAAGTAGTATTAAGTTGTAGGTATTCCACTTGAGGAGCCATGTGCATCATTTGCCATAATTACTTTTTTGATAAAAGTAAATATAAAGTAATGATATGCTCTATCAGAAATGATATGCTCAAAAAAAAAAAAAGAAATGATATGCTCTATCAGGATGGGAATTTAGAGATTCATATATTCTCTACCTTAACGTGCTTCAGTAACAATTAAAAAAAACTTGTTTATTTCAGGCCATAGTTGTTCATTGAAATGGCATTAGAAATTAGGTGCTGGGAATAACATAATTTTGTAAAAATTCATGCTATCTCCACTTTTAGAAGTGCCACATATAGTTCTCACTGCAGCATTTATTCATGCATTCACAAATATGAATTAAGTACCTACTCTACTATATGTTTGGCGTTATGCTATTTACTAAAGATACAAGGATTAGTCAGCGTTCCTATACTCAACAAGCTTATGATCTGGTAAGTCTCGTCTAAGAAGAGAAGAGTTGGAGGGGATTCAGAGGTGAACCACTGATAGTAAATAAAGGGGCTCTCACAAGAGAGCTGACTACAGACATCAGCACTTTTCAGGAAGGTAATGCAGAACAATATACAAACCTTTTTAAAAATATTTATTCAATGGTGAGATGGGGTAAATTCAATTTTATTCAAAACTCTTCCAATATTAGAATTAAAAGGATAATTCTCAAATTTGGAAACAGCTCAACATAGAATAATAAAGGTACTTTATGTGGAAAGGAAAGAACTAATGATATCAAAGGCAGTTTTACACAGAAGATAAAAACACCTATAAGTTTAAGAATGTTACAAATTAATTAATTTCATTCCATAATAATTCTACCACCACAGCATCTAGTCCAAAACAGACGAACCTCTACACATATTTTATTCTCCTGGAGCACATTGTGCAAATGGAAAGGTATAATACATCCTCAGAAACTGATATCCCTGCAATACAGCAGTGCTTAAACTCTAAAGCAAGCAATTAAAATTTTAGCTCTCAACAGGAACTTTCAAATTAAAATTATTTATACAACTCTAAAGTTGAACAAGGTTTAAATTTTAGAACTATTCAATTCTACACATAGAGAAATCTGTTAAAATACAATTCTGTAGCATTTAAGTGACTGTGGTCACTACCTCATCCCCCCAAAACAAACCATTACATAGTTATAAGCTTTCTTATAGGATCTTATTTGCAATACCCAGTTATGAGCAAAATCATAACATATTCATGAACTGATACTCATCTTTCACTAAAATTCTGTGTAAACGTAGCACTGCCTTATGGGAAAATAAATACTTTAAATAGTTTATATCATTATCTCCCAATTAGCCTCTGGAAATAAGAAGGATATATTCTAACATTCATTTTCTATTTTCATAATCTTAGGAAATAAGTCACTTTAATCAGGAGCTAGAAAAAGGTGAGTGGCAAAAAAGTTAAAACAAGTCTTGAATAACATACATACCGGTTTGATTCGAAGCTGACCACCGACCACCTCAAGAATGGCATGTCTTCTGGACACTCTCTTGTCTGTTATCTACAGGGGGAAAAAATTAACATTTCAAACAGAGCTACCGCCATTAAAAACAAGAGCAACAACAACAAAACTCATAGCAATGTTTCTGAAATAAGTAGGTTAGATATGACATATTCACTCATCAATTGTGGTATTACCACGATGGTCCTCATTGAACAGATAATGAAACAAACTCAAGAGATTAAGGAACATGCCCAAGGTCATAAGAATAAATGGCAGAGCAGGGACTCAAACTTGGAATCTAACACATCCCCAACCTTTCATGATAGTTTCCATTCAAGATAGACATTTTGGGAGCACCTGGGTGGCTCAGTGGTTGAGCATCTGCCTTTGGCTCAGGGCATGATCCCAGGATCGGGGATCGAGTCCCACGTCGGGCTCCCCGCAGGGAGCCTGCTTCTCCCTCTGCCTGTGTCTCTGCCCCTCTCTGTGTCTCTCATGAATAAATAGTCTTCTTAGAAAATCTATATATTATGTACTTATTAGGAAACCTTTCAAATACAAGAAATATATAGTAGGTTATGATGACAAAAGATTTTAAAGACAGCAGTCTGGTAAATATAAAGGTGTGACTACAAGTTTTAGGGCTGGGCAGACTTGTGCTGGAGCTCTAGGGCCCTCAGAAGTAAGTTAACAGAATAGGAAGGTATATGGGGGAGAGGTGAAAACCAAATATTTACAGTGAAAAAGAGATTACCATTTATATATGTATGTGTATATACACCTATGACATATATACATATACCTTAGTATCAGATAATAATGTATAATGAAAATATTTGCTTTCTGTCTTGAGCCAATAATGCTCTACTTATGCTCACAAGCACTTCTGCATACCAAAGTTCAAAAATCGCTTGCACTTTAAATCCTGAAAATTGCCAACTGAGCCTTCCCTGCAAGGTTATAAACACAATAGTTAAGATTGGCTTTGTTGCTTGGGGCTGATACATAATGAAAACATTTTAAGCACACACTTTACTGAACACCATAACTATCTGGCCCATTTCTTGATCACGTTGGTATCTATCACTTCAACACTGGCATTATCCACCTCAGGACTGAAATTATCAGTAAAAACAGACTACAGCAATGCCTAATTCAATTAAACCCACTAGTTCTGCAAAACCTTACAAAAAATGTGAAAGTGCCAGGAATCAGTACTCTTTTTTTTTTTTTTTAAACCAGAGAGCAGTTCCACATGTGAGACTAGGACTATATAAAATAGGCACATCAAGCCTCCCAGGTGAATGAATTCCACATACATATATTTGTGACAGCTACAGTTAATCTTTAGAACATTTCCTAAAATAAAGTATCTTAAAAGTAGCGCGTTTAAAATACATACACTATTGGCCACAATGGCTAGTTTAGAAAAGTAAGTATAAACTAATAAGCTGTTCTATCAAAAAGGAGAGAAGAAATTTGGAGGTTCCTATATTCTTTCCCATCATGTGCCCTGTGGGCGAAAAACACCAGTTTTTCCAACGTGCACAGATTTTACCATTTGCATAGAGCTTTCACTTAAATGTTGAGATTCACCATAATACTGTCATAGCTATTATTCACATTTTACGAATTTGTAAATTCAAAGTCTAGAGAAATGAAGTAATTTGCATAGGCCACTCCTCAAGTAGGTAGCACTCCAAATCCATATTCATTAATAAATAAATATGTGGAAATAGTCATATATGATACTATATCTGCAAATAATCATTCAGAAATAGTTTGTGTCAGAGAGAAGGAAGCTTCCAACTTGGGTAGAAAGATCTCACTGCTAACTTCAATAATACAAATCAATTTTCTAACCAACGGAGTAGCAGACTGTCAAATATAAAACCATGGCATGCAATAGTGGCTCCTCTAATAGTTCAGCTTGGGTTTCTTTCTTTTTTAAATACCATTTTTGGAGAAAGCAATAATGGACTTTTCCCATCTTAGTCTTTCTTTGAAGTGGGTTTTCCTGACACTAGCATGAAAAATATATTATAAAATCAAAACATGACCTCTAGTGGACATATCATTCCACAACAATGTAATTCATGGCAAGCTGTGCATTTCTACAGTATATCAAAAAAAGTATTGGGGATCCCTGGGTGGCGCAGTGGTTTAGCGCCGGTCTTTGGCCCAGGGCGCGATCCTGGAGACCCGGGATCGAATCCCACGTCAGGCTCCCGGTGCATGGAGCCTGCTTCTCCCTCTGCCTGTGTCTCTGCCTCTCTCTCTCTCTGTGACTGTCATAAATAAAAAAAAAAAAAAAAAAAGTATTTTGGGTTTTTTTTTTAAGATTTTATTTATTTATTCATGAGAGACCCAGAAAGAGAGGCAGAGACATAGGCAGAGGGAGAGGCAGGCTCCCCGTGGGGTGCCTGACATAGGACTCATCCCAGGACCCTGGGGTCATGCCCTGACCTGAAGGCAAATGCTCAACCACTGAGCCACCCAGGTGCCCAAAAGTTTTGTGTTTTTTTTTTAAGATTTTTATGTATTTATTCATGAGAGACAGAGAGAGAGAGAGGCAGAGACGCAGGCAGAGGGAGAAGCAGGCTCCACGCAGGGAGCCTGACGTGGGACTCAATCCTGGGTCTCCAGGATAATGAACTGGGCTGAAGGCGGCGCTAAATCGCTGAGCCACTGGGGCTGCTCCTAAAAAAGTGTTTTTTAAAGAGTCCTTAAAATTAATATCATCTGGGCATTTAGCTATAATTGTTCCTTTTAAACTATACGTCTAGGGACCCCGGTGGCTCAGCGGTTAAGCATCTGCCTTTGGCTCAGGGTATAATCCCAGGGTCCTGGGATCGAGTCCCACAGCAGGTTCCCAACAGGGAGCCTGCTTCTCCTCCCTCTGCTATGTCTCCGCTTCTGTCTCTGTGTTTCTCATGAATAAAGCCTTCTTAAAAAGTAAATAAAATAAACTATACCTCTAAATAATGAGTAGGGGCAGCCCAGGTGGCTCAGCGGTTTAGCGCCACCTTCAGCCCCCAGGGCCTGATCCTGGAGACCCAGGATCGAGTCCCACATCAGGCTCCCTCCATGGAGCCTGCTTCTCCTCTACCGTCCTGTCTCTGTCTCTCTCTCTCTCTCTCTCTCTCTCTCATGAATAAATAAATAAATGAAATCTTAAAAAATAAAATTAAATAAATAAATAGTAAATTACAAAATAACTTATGTTCTCTCTACAGGAAGCTTAAAGTTTTAACAAATTATCATTAGAACTTATTCTAATTTCAGGATGGGTGTGGGGAGGGTAGAATGCATATGGTCTGTGGAGGCCAGGTCATAAATAAATTACCCTAAAGATCTGATAACCTGCTTTATTAAAGAGAGATCACTATTCCTTGTGTACTTGTGCAGAGTAAATATCCATATATTCTTACTACTATATTAGCTGTAATAGCAACCAATTATCAAGTCTAAGGCACTCTTCTGTACTTACTACATATTATCTTTTTTGCTTTTTTTTTTTTATTATTATCTTTTTTGTCAGCAGGGAGGCTGACACAGGAGGTGTGTGGGGGGGGGGCACATGGTTGATCCCAGTACCTTGGGATCATGACCTAGGCCAAAGGCAGACACCTAACCGACTGAGCCACTCAGATACACGTATCATGTATTATCTTTTTAAATCTTCACCAAACCTTTGGAGAAGGCATTATTATCTTTATTTTATAAGAGAAATGACAAGTACAGAGAGGTTAAGCAACTACTTAAAGTTACACGTCAATAAGCAGGGAGACCAGGACTTGAACCCAAGGAATCTGATTCTGGTGACACTCGTCCTTTTAACACTGTATTGCCTCCCTCATTATCATTACATAAAATATAATTTTTTAGATTATTTACCATCAGTTTAACTATCTAAACTAGAATATACTACAGACCTAGAAATAAGGCAGGATGACTATTTAATAAGCAGGTAGACATTCTGGGAAAATCAAGCCCTAAATAAAGCTCCAGAAGGTCTTCAGGTTTTCATTGGCCCTATCTATTCTAATGTCATACCCAAGTCTAACAACATTGTTATCTGAATTCCCATTTCTCTATACACAGTAGACAAAAAAAAAGTGGGTGGGGTTTAGTAGGCAGTGGATTGACAAGGAGGGGGAATGACTGATGTTGGTCCACAAGTAAAAAGACAAAGGCTATAGAAAAGCAAAGAAACTCAAAGACTCACAAAGGGTCTTTTGACTCTTTTTTGAGAGTAGGAACAAATGGCATAACACACTTCAAAAGGTACTAAATACTTACCTGATTTTGCTTACTGATTACCCAGACTTCATTTGAAAGATATTTCACATCTCCAAAAAAATAGTTAAAATAGGGGAATTCCAATTTTCTGTCAAATAAGTGTAGCCACCTTAACACTCATCACACCATAAAAATCAACATTTAGAACAAATAAAACCACCTATATTCACATCTAAAGCCCATCTAAGAGACAGAGATTACCACAAACTTTACATGTAAAAGGGGAAAGAAACACCAAATGCAGATCAAGCTTTAGGGCTTTTGCTGGAACAGAAAGTCAAGGGACAAATGGGAAGAAAGACAGTGAGAGCCAGGGGTGGTGGGGTACAGATAATATCACTCCCCCAAACAGTCACACTGTGAGTGGGAAATAACGAAAACATATCTCATATCCAGCAGTTCAGTGGTCCAAGCAAAACTGGAAACAATTTGGGAATCAATATGAATAATGATAATAAGGAATACAACACACTGAATACAAAATAATCCATGAGTTCATACTGAACTCAAGACAAGGGCTGGGGCTAGGGCTGGGAGGAAAAGCTCTTCTTCATAAAAGAATGCCAACTAATGAGGAAGAAATGATCAAACCAGAAAATCACTATTTTGTAACTACCAATATAATAATTGACTCAGGAAAGGATCAACAGATGTTAACTTTCAGGTAAGTGCTTCATGGAAAAAGAATATTCCTGAAGTCTCAATGCATCATTGCACAAATTGCTCACAAAGGGAACTCTGTCTTTACTGGAGAA